GGCCATGGCTCACGGGCACAGCTGCTCCGCGGCATGTGGGATCTTCCCGGACAGGGGCAGGAACCCGTGTCCCCTGCATCAGCAGGCAGACTCTCAACCACTGTGCCACCAGGGAAGCCCACGAAGTGGGTTTATTTTGATGTGCATTTTTTTTTCTGGATGAAGGAGCCACAACTTTCATCAAATTATCAAAGGCTTTGCGAGCCCAAAAAAAGGTTAGGAATCGCTGCTGCTGATGACTGAGGTTTCAGGAGGCACTCAGATTGCTCAATACCTGATTGCGTAATTTCTTTCTCTTTCCAGCTTTCAGGCCCAGAAGGGATGTGAGAATTCCCCACGCTTAAGTTATTCTGACATACAGTAACAACTCTTTGGAGTCGTGTTACTTAAAAACCAATTTTTACAAAGGAACAGTATAAAAATAGACACTTGGGAAGGTTTTGAGTTTACGCCTACATGGTGTGCAACTCTGTACTTTTTCTTAATCACTTCCTCTCACTTATCTCCTGCCCCAGTTAGCTTCCTCTCCCTGGTACTTGAGATCCATCCCAGGCGGCCACAACGACAGATTCCCACAGCAGAGAAAAGCAACCACGTGTGAAAGAGATTTTAGATAAAAGTAGATGAAATTCGTCTCCAGCCCCTGCAGAGGTCAAGTGAATACCATGTGATCACCACACTAAACGACACCTTTGGACTACCTGGTGGGGCCCAAAGCCCCAGTTAAACAGAGACACTTATCAGGCATGATATTCCAAGAGCTCAGAGATCACTTCCCAAGAAACCAGAGAAAAGGCCAGCCCTCTATTTGGGTAAGGTCGATTCTTCATTACACTTATTTTAAAACTCTCCCTAAAATGAGAGTGAAAAGATTAAAAAAAAAAAAAGAATAGATGAAAGAGAAGCCATAAATGATAAGTCCTGAGGTTTACCGCAAAAATTAGAGGCTGCCTTTCTAGACTGTTTGAGAAACCCCCCAAAGTCCCTGGGGTGTCCTTTCTACTAGAGAAACGCAACAAAAGACAGCTATTCCCTTACCTCCGGAAGGTTCCTAAGAATGCCTGCAGCGCAGACTCAGAGCAAAGAGCACCCTCGTCAACAAGCAGTGTCCTCACAGGTACCAGGCTCCAGTGGAGGATCACCTAGAAGCTGGATCCCTCAGATCTGATGAGCAAGGCCTGGGGCCACACCTGCATCCCCTTTGCTGAGTCGACAAGAGGGTCCTGTGCTTTGAAGTTGCACATAAATACTGAACTCTCCAGGAAAAACCCTGGGGGAAGAGGCTCTAACCCCTAGCAGAGCCAGCATTTGGCTCCAGGTTTGGAGGTGCTGTGAGCCCCTATGACATGTAAAATGGCATGTGTGTTTTTTGGCAAAGACACTCTGTGACTTTAAACAGATTCTGAAATGGGTTTGTGACTTCCCCATGATACGGGCACCCCAGGACTCTGTAAGGAAGAGGCTATGCAGGCACATCTTTTCAGAAAACTTACTTCATTTTCTCAGTCAGTTCCTGAAGATATTGCGGGAAAAACTATTTAGAAGGTCTAAAAAAATCAGGATGTGGTCGCAAGCAAAATTTGTCCTGCAACCTGCTTCTATTCCATGTAAAAATAATTCTCAAAGTTCACTGTAGAATATATGTCCATTTAAAACACACACACAGGGCTTCCCTGGTGGCGCAGTGGTTGAGAGTCCGCCTGCCGATGCAGGGGACGCGGGTTCGTGCCCCGGTCTGGGTAGATCCCACGTGCCGCGGAGCGGCTGGGCCAGTGAGCCATGGCCGCTGAGCCTGCGCGTCTGGAGCCTGCGCTCCGCAGCGGGAGAGGCCGCAACGGTAAGAGGGCCGCATACCGCAAAAAAAACCAAAAAACAAAAAACACACACACACACAATAAGAGTTTTTAGTTGCCTTGTTTTCAAAGTCACGATGTAAAAGACCTGCAAAGCTTCCTATTTCAGCCACAAATGGCAAGGAAAAAGGAGCGCCCTAATCTCGGAAGTGGTGACGATCTTGTCGATGAGGAAATACCAGGCATCAAATATTGAGATTTTAGAATATTTTAATGTCCATTTCTTCAGTGGGTGCATTTTGAAATTATTAGGATTAACAACTTAAAAAGGGTAGAGCAAAGGAAAGATGGAGAACGCAAACAATTGGTTCTCGTGGATTTAATTTTCAGATTCTAGGCATGACGTGATTTTTCGAAACAACCACCAAAAAGTGCTTACTTCGAAAGTCTAAAATGCAAACGCGGACAGATCTTTGGAAACTACAAATCACTACAGCCCACATAATGGGGAAGCACACGGCCCTTTGGCTCTCAATGTCAAGTGCAAATGTGCAGGTGTCTCCACAGCACAGTCAGGGTAACGGAGCCGTGAGTAGCCTCCAATCTCTGTGAGGGTTTCATAACTGATACTCTGCATTTGTTTGCATTGGATGCAATTATTTGTTTGTTTATATATATTTATACATATATAATTTGATCTGACCTGAGGCCAAGAAGAAACTAGCAATTGCAACTCAAAGCAACTATTTACACACATTCAATTCTGAAGTATTGCTTCCTGCCCTAAGTTCACAGGAGGTATTGCCGCTCTGAAGAACGCCTCCACCTAATCGGAAGCGCTTGAACCTGCTGCTCAGAAGCCCATCTGTCTTCAGCCACCGTCTGCTCAATGCCCACTGAGTCAGAGGCCTGGCGCTGCGGGTGCAGGCACTCCGTGGTTCTGTGCTGAGGTATGCTTCCAAGCAGGGGCTGGGAAGGACCTGGGTCACTGGTGGCCCAAAGAGAACATCTGTACTGGTTGCTTAGGAAGGCTCGCTTGGGGTGTTTTTTTAAAGACAATTTAAACTGTCCACAAAGGCTTCCATCTGCACAATGCTGAACTGGGCAAGTGGACGTCAACACTCTCTCCCTGCGTCCGCAGCCTCTTGGCTTCCCAGGAATCGCAGGAGGGGAAGGGAAAAAAAAAAAAGAGTTTGACAGGGAGGAAGCGTGTGCAGAGATGAACTCTGTGGAGCATGTTTTGAGTGGAACAGCAGAGACACGGGGAACAGCAGGAAGCACCCAGGCCCCTCGCCGCCGCCAAAGCTGCAGAGCCTGGAGCCAGATGGCGGAGGGCGAGGCCCATACTCAACACACGTCTTAATACTGATGGAAGGAACCCCTGACATGCCCACAAGCCTGACAGACAAGCAGAGCATCAGGTAGTGTTTTTCAGAAAAAATAAAAATAAAATCTCTGCAGGATTTTATAAGAATACATTCTTTAGAAGAGGTAATGTCACAGTCATCCTTTCTCTATTTCTCTAGCATTGGAAGACCAACAATCTGACAGTAAAACCTGAAGGCAAATCTCCCTGGACGTGGAGATCCTGGCTACAACTGTACTGCCGGGGTCCGTGCCATGCATGTCCCTGGGGAGCTGGGGGATCAGAATCAATACTTCATGACGCCGGGAAGGGCAGATTCTGTATGTATTTGGTGAGGAGTGATAACAGGACTTAATGCAGATGTGAAAGCTACACAGAGATTTACCAGTGAAAAGAAAATACACAGGGCACATTGGAGAAGACCTTACACAGAGAAGGAGCCAGTCCTCAAATATCCCATGAGCTGCAGCCACCTTAAGAATGAGCTGTCATATGACTATGACAGGGCAACTCTGACCTGAGTTCAATCCTACATAAACTTCAGACTCAACGTGGCAAAACGTAATTACAAGCAGGATTAGCAACAAAGGGCACAGAAGCAATTTCCTTGGGTTTTCTGTACTTCCCTGGTTCCACACCTCATTTCCATCCAGACGACTCTGTCCCTACTTACAGGGTAAGAGCTCCATTTAAAGAGGGCTGGGATCCACTCACCAGGCTCAACCCCACCACAAATGGGCCCTGCACAGGCTGAGAACAGGGAAGGATGGAGAAGCTTTCTGAATGTGGAAGCCAAGCGCTGCCCGCGGCCCTGGTGCTCTGCCCAGACCTGCTTCACAGCGAGCCGGTTCTGATCCCACCCCTGTCGTGAGCAGATCCCCTGGGTGGGGGGCAGAAGCAGGGCTTTTGCTTTAAAAGTGGTGGCCGAGGGCTTCCCTGACCCAGAGTGTGCAGGCTGTGCCCAGTGGGGTCCTGCTCAGCCCCTGGCGGGGGAGGCGGCCTAGAGTAGGTGAAGCACTAATGGACACCTTCTCATCCTTCTGCTGTGCCCTCTGTGACCATATACCCCGCCCCCTCAGCCTACTTCCCTTCCCCAGACAGAATGACCCGGCAACCCTCCCCAAGACGTTTCCTGATAAATAAATAAATAAATAAATGCAACCCTTGGATGTTTATTTTGCGTTTCCTCTCAGTTGAGTCAGCTTCCAAGACAAGACCCTCCGCTCCAGCTGGAAGACCCCTTGGGGCGGGGGCAGAATGAAAAAGGGCTTTTAGATACCTGAGGCCTGGGTTCATGAGCTGTGAGGCCGGTAAGCATTTGGAATCTCGGCCTGCACGAGCAGGAAGCCCTAAAGCCGCTGGGTGTGGCGGGCGGTGGGTGCAGCCACAGCCCCTGAGGGCCCGGCTGGCCTGGAAGATGCAGGTCAGGGCACACCGGTGTCCTGGCTGATGGCCCTCTGCGGTCCTCAGCCTGCACCCCCCCAGCATCCCCGCCCAGTGAGTTACTGGCACTTGATCTCAGATTCATGAATGCAAGTGTGTGTGCGTCTATGTGTTTACATAGAAAGGTCAGGTCACTGGAAAAACACTAGTACGTATATAGAAAAAAACCTCAAAAACATTGTATTAGCAAAAAAAAAGTGTCTCGTGAGAAAAAGCAATAAAAATAATATTTTAACCACAGCTTCTGTTTTAATGTCTACCACCACCCAGCGCCACACCCCGGCCGCACCTTCCCTGGACTCCAGGCCGCGCCAGCCCCTGAAGGCACTTGTTCTCCACACTGACGAATGGTCACACCAAGGGGGAAGAGGAAAAAAACGGATGAAGATGAACCCTGAATAACTGTGATCCACACAGAAGTTAGGGCTGCAATGACCACAGGACACCACGTCCGGGGACGCGAACTGTGGAACCTGGACGGACAGAGCACCGCGGGCGGCGCTGGGCCGCATCACGCCCTCTTTGAGACGTTGAGCTTGGTGAGTTCATTGGCTTCCTCCTCCCCTGCTTCTTCACAGTCGCTTTTCTCTATGGCTTTGCTGAACCTACACCTTTCTTCGGCTTTGATGGGCTCCTTCCAGGGTTTCTTAGAAGACGGGTGAGTGTCCCTGGCCTGTGTGTTGTTCTCGGAGCCCAGGGACACCTGGTCCGGGTTCTGTACGGAAGGCACCAGGTTGGTGATCTCGTCCGTGGGGGAGCGTCCGATGCTGCCGTCCACCTGGACTCGGATGTCAGGGGAGATGGAGAGCTGGTGCTGCGGCACCATCCCGTTGTCCGTGCACTTGGGGTACAGGTAGGTCTTCATCTGGCCTTTGCCCTTGACGTTCACCGTCCCTCTGTAGTCGAAGTCGTAGCCCATCTTGCTCAGGACGCGGTAGCTTTCCTCGCTGACCTGGATGCGGCACTCCACCCCCGTGGTGTCCATCCTGCTGGCGATGTTGACCGTGTCTCCCCAGATGTCGTACAGCAGCTTGGTGGTGCCAATGACGCCTGCCGTCAGCGGCCCATGGTTGAAGCCCACCCTGAGCTTGAAGTTGAACCAGAGCATGTTATTGTTGAAGTCGTCCACCACACGCATCATCTCCTTGGCAAACTCAAACAGGATCTGCAGGTGCTCCTGCGGGTGGCTGCCGTCACGGCACTGTGTGGCATTCAGCCCAGACGCGGCCATGTATGTGGCCCCGATGGTCTTGATCTTCTCGATGCTGCTGTAGTCCGGCTTGCTCAGGAGCTCGTCGAAGTCCCCGATCAGCTCGTTGAGGACCCGGTAGCACTCCTTGCCGCCCTCGTAGTTCTCCTCATAGAACTCGCTGAAGTTGACGATGCTGGCAAAGATGACTCCTCCGTTGTCGTGGTTCTTGGAGTAGGTCTGGGAGACCTTCAGCTGCTCGGCCACGTGGTAGGGGATGATGTTTCTCAGCAGCCAGTCGGCCTGGTCCCTCATGCTCTGGATCTTAGTGCGGTGCAGGTCCGCCTCCACGTCCCCGTGGTAGTGTAGGCGGTAGCTGACTTCGAATTCTCGATTCAGGAACCAGACCAACAAGAGCAGGAGGAAGAAGACAAGAATCACCTCCTGGCCGATTAGGCTGGCTGGGCTCCTGCTGTCGTGCGGCAGCGAGGCGTTGCACGGATTCCTCTCGGAGCTGGAGAGGAAAGAGAGGACAAAGGATGTGCCTTCTGAAATGCATCTTTAAGGGAAAGGTTACTGCCCAGTGCTTCCAGGTTCTGAACCAGCCCAGCTAACCAGTATCCTGCACAGAGTTTTGTGCAGCTCAAACCTTCAACCACCTGCAGCTGCAGAGTGACCTGTTTCTGTTTAGAAAGATGTGGCGTGATAAAGAGTCACTCTTGTAAGATTCCTGTAATGAGTGCTTTGTACTTGCTTTGTTTTTCAGAAGTCTTTAGCTCCTTGATTTTTAAAATCTTTTTTTTTTCCCCAACTTTTTATTTTGAAAAATCTCAACCTTACAAAAAGGTTAAGAGACTAGCAAAACAAACATCTGTATACCCTTCTCCTGGATGCAACAATTGCCAACACTGTGCTACTCTGCTGTTTCCCTCTGTCAACACAAACTGCACACACATACACACACTCACACAGGCATACTTTGCTGAAGAGTCTGAAAGTAAGCTGCAGACATCAGGCCGCTTCAATCCTGAAGAGTTCAGTATGAATCTCCTAAGAAAAAGGACGTCTCCCTATGGAATCACACCACCGTCACACCCAAGAAATTTCACGTTCTCTGATACACTCTGATATATTTCCCCTGCCGCCTCTCTCCCACTCGCCCTGGGGTTAGTTCTGTTTTGCCAAAGTCATTTAAGATAACTTAACCATTTTTAAAAATAATATAAAATGTATACTTTTAAGAGTAACACACTGTAAGAAACTCAAACAGTATAAACAATGGAAAATAACTGTCTTTCCTATGAGGTAACCTTTCTGTTGAGCACTATTCTAACACACGGCTGTGCTGTAACAACCAGTCCCCTGCAGAGGGCGATCAGCTGTGTCCATCTTTGACTACTAGGAACGAGGTTACAGTGGATATTCCCGAGTGTCTTTGTGCATATGAATGAGCCTGTCTGTGGGATAAACTCCTGGAAGTGGAACTGCTGAGTCATTTAAAATACACTTAGAATTCCATTAGAAATTTCCAAACTGCCCTTCTAAGGGCTGAGCCCATTTCTATTCCCTCTGATGACCAAGTCTGCTTGGTCTGTTCTACAGTTCCACAGTGCCGAAGGGCCACAGCTTGGGACCCCAGGACTGAAGATTAGCGTGGGCAGTCTCTTCTGAAGTTTATTCTTTAAATATAATTTTTTCCACTTAAAAATACTACATACTCATCATATAAAATTTAGGGTGAAAGTAGAAAGAAAAAAAGATTCACCCATCATCACACCATCCAGAGGCGATCACTGTTAATGTTTGTTGAATTTCCTTCTCATCTCTCTTTTATCTGTTTACAACGCTGTGATTGCTCTGCTCATGTAAACTGTACCCTGATGTACTCTAAAATGCACAGAGCAGGCAGCTAGATTTTACATAACAATGGTCTGGGTCACTTATATGAATATAATTATATATGGAACAGATGGACCCTGAGTTTAGAGAGTACCATGGCACAGAAAGCTCAATTCTACCATCAGAGTGTTTTTTAATGAATTTTACTGCTACCTATACTTAGGCATATTAAAAATAATGAAACTGACCAATCTGGTCATAACGCCTTCCATGAAACACAGTCACAAAAGCCTGGCTTTGGAGTAACAATGCCCGGACTGTGACCGGGCTGGCCCCCCACAGAGCTCTGAGACCCTTGGGCAGGTCACACCATCTTTCTGGTCTCAGTTTCCTCACAAGTAAACTGAAGATGGGCTGGAGTATTGCTAAGTCTCTACCGGCCAAAGGGTCTGTGCAGAAAGGGCCTGAGGCTATGTCTGTAGAACCAGCAGGGTGCCCTAGGCTGGCATTGGGGAGCTTGGATTTGGGGAGGGTTCCCACCAGTCCTTGATGAGAGGGGCTCACCGTGCCTGGACTGTTTGTACAAACAACGTGGTTTCTGCACCTGCCCTCCTTCCAAAAATCTGGAATTTTGGTACATGCCAGGCAGAGGTTGCCTATGTGACCAGCCACCAAGAAAATCCTTGGAGTCTCTGATGGGCTTCCCAGGAGGGTGTTTCACACGTGCTGTCACAGCTCATTGCTGGAAGAATTAAGTGCATCTCATATGACTCCACTGGGAGAGGACTCTTGAACGCTGGCGCCTGGTTTCCTCTGGACTCTGTCTCATGCACTTTTGTTCTCTGCTGATTTTGCTCTGTGTCCTTTTGCTGTTATAAACCACAGCCATGGGTACAACCATGTGCTGAGTCCTAAGTCCTCCAAGTGAATGATCAGACCTGAGGGTGGTCTTGGGGACCCTGACAGAGGTTCTATGACTTAATGCCTAAGAACAAGGAACCCAAAACGGCCTCTATGGCAAGATGCACCACACTTCACTCATTTATTTTGCCAACTGTCATTTAAACAAATGGCAGTATTTACTATGAATCTAAAGTACTAAACAAAATAACTAGTTTAGATACTAAAACAGATCTATGTCCATCCCCTCAAGCCCTCTGGTTGGCTCAGAGTAGGGAGAGAATCTGGAGGGAGTGAGTCTTCTCTACATGAGCCCATCTTCTTGGCTTAGGAGTTGACCTTTCCTCTGGTTTCTCCAAAGTGGTAACACTGAGGAACAGCCTCTTTATTAGGAGACGTCACCAAGGCTTAAGGTCATCCTAGAACCAGGCATTGTAGAACCCGGTGGTAGAACTGGGTGGCGTGTCTCGGTTTCCTCAATTGTGCTGTAGCTAAAGCCGGCAGTGTGGCCTGAGCCTGGGATGGGCACAGGCCAGTGCCCTCTGGATGGAGCAGAAGAATACGAAACGTGGGCAGGTGTGACAGGGAAAGGGAAACAACTGCACTGCTTGCTTTTACCTTTACTTAAAAGGAAGGGTCCTAATGCACAGGCTGACATGTTGTGCCCAAGGGGCTGCCTTGCAACAGAAGATCTGTAACCAGCGGGTGAGAGAATTATTTCCACTCTACAACCTGTACTTCTTATCCTACTGCAGAAGGAACAAGGAAGGCGATGGTTCTACTCCTAAATTCAAATAGTAAAGGTCAGTCCCAAAAGGAGGAATTCTGTGACTAAATGCAAGAGATAACTTAATAGATGGACAAATGGAAGTCAGAGTAAAATACAGTATAGTTCATTATCACGGAAAAGAGGGATTACAAAATAGAGAAAAACGGAAAACAAAGACCACTCGTCCTAGCCAGCTCAACATGAGATGCACGAAAATTTTGGTATATTTCCATGCCATTTAAAATCTACGCCTAGGATGGGGGCAGGATGCACCAAGAGGAGGCATAAGGGGGGCTTCTGGGTAGTGTTCTATTTCTTGGTCTGGGTGGCAGTTAAATGGGTGTGTTCACTTGTGAAAATTCACTGAGCTGTCCTCATGATCTGGAGGCTTTTCTGTGTATGTGTTATACGCCAATAGAAAGTTAACTTAAAAAAAGATGTTAGGTGTTTTGCTACTAAATCTTATAATTGTCAATCATACACAGAAACATCTGTATTCTGTTTTTGTTCCATTGTCACTTTAATTCTCTTCCCAACATCTAAATGTCCACAGATTAATTTTTTAATTGTAGAAACAGAGAAAAAATCATCACTCATCATTAGATCGTAAGTATTACATGTCTTACTTTTTTTATATATGATGAAATACCTAGCTGTAGCTATAAGACCTATGTAATTTCACATAATAAATGAAAAATGAAAACCATAAATACTTTCCACATTGCTGCATTTTAACAGTTATAATATTTGGGTATATGTATCCTAATTTAATTAATTTCTTTTTTACTGACAACTGAAGTTGCTGATGAACTTTCAATATTACCAATCAGGATGTTCAATATTTTGGGGCATGCAGCCTTTACCAAATGCTGAATTATTTCCTCAGCAGATAAGCAAAAACAGAATTATTAGTTTAAAGGTGATGGACATTTTTATGACTATGTTTTATAGATTGCCAAATTACTTTCCAAAACTATTGTACCATTCTGAAAAGTAATAAGGCATGGCAGAAAAAGCATGGCCTGGTAGTAAGGGAGGCCAGGGTTTGAACACTGCCAGTGTCCATAGGCAGGTTCCTTCTCTGAGCTTCAGCTTTCTTATCTGTAAAATGGGGACAAAGTTACCTAATATATCAGGTTACTGTGTAGATTAAACAAACCTATATTAAACACCATCAATTCATATATGTGCCACACCCTGGCCTACACTGGGTATTCACATGGTAACATTTTGAAGGTATGATGTGAAGATCAGAAGGAATTCTGTAGTTATTTAATAGTGCAATGACTTGTGTAGCAGCCTATTTATCTTCTACTACATTTCCCCTTTTGTGATTTTTTTGGTCTTTTGTCTACACAGGTCTTAATTAGCTCTTTACATAACAGTCTCACAAATATTTTTTTCAGTCTGCTTTTATCATCCCCTCGGTCAGTCTTATTTTTTGTGCGTGTGGTTCTATTTATTATTTGTAAGATTGGAAAGTTATCTCTGTCTTAGAGGCTTGAGAACTGCTTAATTTTATTTTTTCTAGATGTTTATATAGTTTTATATAATTAAAAATTTTTTGACTTCAATTTATTTAGGATTAATTTTGATGTTTATAGTAAAGCAAGGACCCAACATTTATTTATTTCAAATTTCTAGTCGGTTATTTCAAAATATTTTAGGGAATAAATTTTCTTTGATTTGTGAGATCTCCTTTGTAACATTCTAATGTCTTATATAAAATTAAACCAAATCTAACACAGGAAACCCTCGCTTTTTGAAAGTTCTCTTTTCACCACTTTGCTTTGATGAAAGACCTACATTAGTACCTGTTTTTGCTAATGAAAGAAATCCGAAGGGGATTTTTGCCTTTAGAAAAAAAGGCAAAAAGCAAAACTAATGTTCAGCATTTGTTTCGCAGTGAGTGTTACAGAGGCAGCGCCATTCTGAGCAGCAGGAGCAGCCCTGCCAAGCTCCTTCCCAGGAACCACACTGAGCATCGCAGCATCAGCCACCACAGCTCTGAACTGTGTCTGTGAACATCTGTGCTTTACCTCAACTTACTCTGTGCCTCCGTTAGCAAGCTGTGTCCTAACGGAACTGCTTCTTCGCTTTTTGGCTTAGGAAAGTTTTCACAGGAACCTGCCTATGTCTTTTTTAAAAAAAATTAATTAATTAGGCTGCATGGAGTATTAGTTGCAGTACTCGGGATCTTTGTTGCCATGTACAGAATCTTCAATTGTGGGATCTGACCAGGGATTGAACCTGGGCCCCCTGCATTGGAAGCATGGAGTCTTAACTGCTGGACCACCAGGGAAGTCCCCTGCCTATGTCTTAACAATTATTCACTTTCCCAAAGATATTATAAGTATGAACTGATATTTTAACAAATAGATATCTCCCACTTACTCTTTTTTTTTTTTTTTTTCGGTACGTGGGCCTCTCACTGTTGTGGCCCCTCCCGTTGCGGAGCACAGGTTCCAGACCCGCAGGCTCAGCGACTATGGCTCACGGGCCCAGCCGCTCCGCGGCACATGGGATCCTCCCGGACCGGGGCACGAACCCGCGTCCCCTGCATCGGCAGGCGGACTCTCAACCACTGCGCCACCAGGGGAAGTCCCCCACTTACTCTTTTAAGAATGCATATGTTGTTTTTTTTTAATTCAAGATACAACTGTTTTTCAGGAAACTTAGAAATAACCAGCAGTAATAATACAGTTACACCCATTTATTCAGATATAGGCACAATGTTAAAAGCTTACCTGAAATTCTGTACTGCATCCAGGTGCGAAATTACTATGGAACTGAAATTAAAATGCAGAAAACTATTATTATAAAAAGCAAAGAGGGCATTATACACAGCAATCTGAGAAGAGTTTAAATAAAAACAACTTTCCTATTTTTAAGGTGGAGATCAAGGTAGAAAGTTAAGGATAGTAAATTTCAATTATAATTTGATGCTGTGTGTTAATGAAGAATAACAAAATGGTAAAGACAACAATGCAAAAGCCTTTATATCAGCTGTGGAAAGTAGGCACAACCACTAAAAAGCGAAATCAAGGAAGAGTCTCTAAGGACTTCATTTTGCTGTTAAGGACTTATCTATGGTGTCATGTCCTACAGGCTAGAAACTTCAGTCATGTTCAAACAGCGAAGTCTACTGACAAAGGATCAATTTCAAAAGGTCCTGCTGGAGGCGTTGGCAGATTACTTACTGGAGAAGCCGGACTTTGCTATTGGTGATGCCCAAAGCAATCAAACCCCAATTTTAAGGCATCGAAACCACACCTAACTAAAGACCTCTCTCTTGGTGCTTGGGAAGGTACCCAAGACACCCAGCCCCATTCTCTCCACATGCTGCACAGCTTCCTCTGGGGTCATGTTACCCAGCGTCCATTCAGGCCCACAAATCACCCAAACCTCTCTACCCGGGGCAAGTGCCCTGATGCTTCCTCCTTCAGGTCCCCCAGCCTTGCTCCCTGAAAAGGGGATGTTGCAGAGCACCTGTGAGCAGCTCTCCTGGGCAACAAAGGCCAGTGAGGGCTCAGAGTGGCTTTTTTGATTACAGGAGGTATTAAATGACTTCACAGAAAAGGAAAGAAAAGCAAGAGCTACACACAAACTGTCCTCTTCTTACCCTGTCCAGACGTGACTGTGACACTGCTGTAACCCACGTGTCTGTGTCTCCCCAAAGCTGGAAGAGTCCCCGCCGCCAGCTTCACAGGAGTTGAGTTTATGTTTTGTCCTCCCCACATGTTCCCTACCCTGGGTTCAGCTCAGCAGTGACAGGGTGGACAGGCTGAAAAGATTCTGCATGAATGCGGGTGTACCGGGTCCAGCAGAGATTCAACCGCCAGCCCTACCTCAAGACCTGCTATTTGATTTCTAGGTGAAAAGGTGATGGATGGGTTCCCTATTGCTACGGCTCTCTAGATCCAAGTGGAAAAGGCCCGCACCAGTGACTAAATGACACTGTGAATGGCTGATGGGGTATTTGTGTTGGATCTAAAAGGTTAAAAGTCAGACTGTTGAATTTCATGCTCTTGGGAAAGAGCTTTATAATGACCATAATTCCAGAAGGCCACACCTTCAGAAAGGAAAAATGACACTTTGTTTTGCTTAAGGTAATTTAACTATTCAGTAAAGTTTCCTTTCAAATGCTGAATGACATTTCTATTTCCTTTTTGATCTTAATTTGCAGAGAACTTGAATATCTTTCATGTGGTTATTATTTCATTAAGTAAACTGAGGAAGGATACTCACCCTGTCCATTACTAACCACTGCTTTGGTAATACCCAAAATACACTATGGCAATTTCATCTGATATTGAGACAAATTGGACCACTTTCTACTTTTGAGTTTACTAAAGCAATGGTTCTTGGCAACAGTAATACCATCCCTAGGGGGCATTTTGGAAACACTGGGGGTCCCTCTGATTGTTTGGGGAGCCAGGAATGTTAGATGCCCTGCAAAGCACAATAGAGAAATGTCCCACATAACTTTGAAATACCCTGCTAACCTAAACCCACTGTAATTTTAAATAAATGATTCTTTAATATGTGCTAACATAAAACATAAGCAGTTACACAATAAGTCCAACCTTTAGGAGAAGTCTGTTACAGAAACAGAAGCTTAATGGCTTTGAGACATTCCCCTGAAATTTCTGAATAAATTACTCACTGTGTGCACTCTGCTATCCAAGGTATCATCGTATTTCCAACTACATATTTAGTTGAAAAGGTTAAAAACCACAAAACCAGTTGCAAATGTGCAACAGGTAATTTCAGACTCATTTTAACAGCTAAGAACCAAATGTGATTTAATTCGTAGAACACATGAAAGGTAGGGGTCTTACCGGATTTCATTAACAAAGGATGTTTTAAATATAGCACCAATCATTGTCATCCTCTATATTTTAATTTTTAAATTCTTTGTAGCATAGCAGTAAGAACACATCCTGCCCCCAGGGGTCTTCACAAAGCTCCTGTTTCTTTTCCCCACACCATCTGTGAGAGGGCTTTTTTTTTTTTTTAAAGATTTTGTTGTTGTGGACCATTTTTAAAGTCTTTATTGAATTTGTTACAATACTGCTTCTGTTTTATGTTGGTTTTTTTGGCTGCGAGGCATGTGGGATCTTAGCTCCCCAACCAGGGATCGAACCTGCACCCGCTGCATTGGAAGGCGAAGTCTTTACCACTGGACCACCAGGGAAGTCCCCGTGAGAGGGCTTTGAAGGCCATCTGAGTACCAGGGATGGAATCCACTCTTCAATATGTAGAAGGATTTCAAGATAAATGATATATTTCCAGTGATTCGTCATTGCCCTAACGCTTCCTGTTACAAGATGGAGAACTGTTATGACATGATATTTATGAATAAGGCCAGGTCACTCGCAAGACCATCATACTTCTTCATTTCCTCCACTTCAACAATCTGTAACCTGTCTCGGCACACTGGCCCTACTACAAAAGGTTGGGACCAGCTTCCTCTTTTCATTTTTGTGTCACCTATGCCTCTATTACTTCATTTTCTTGATAGTCTTGTATGAAACGGCTTCTGGTCCTACTTTCTTAAATTCAAACTTCTTCATCTTAAGTACAGTCGACCCTCTGCGTCCACAGGTTGTGCATCTGCGGATTCAACCAACCTCAGACTGAAAATATTAGGGAAAAACAAAATCCCAGAAAGTTCAAAAAAAAGCAAAACTTGGGGCTTCCCTGGTGGCACAGTGGTTGAGGGTCTGCCTGTCGATGCAGGGGACGTGGGTTTGTGCTCCGGTCCGGGAGGATCCCACGTGCCACGGAGTGGCTGGGCCCGTGAGCCGTGGCCGCTGGGCCTGTGCGTCCAGAGCCTGTGCTCTGCAGCGGGAGAGGCACGGCAGTGAGAGGCCCGCGTACCATAAAAAAAAAAAAAAAAAAAGCAAAACTTAAACTTGCTACATGCTGACAACTATTTACATAGCACTTACATTGTATTAGGTATTATAAGTAATCTAGAGATAATTTAAAGTATACAGGAGGGCATGAGTAGATTATATGAAAATATTCATATTATACCATTTATAGAAGGAACTTGAGCATTCTTGAATTTTGGTATCCAAGGGGTGGTCTGGGAACCAATCCCCTGCAGATACCGAAGGACAACTGTGAGTTCAAGCATGTGACTACTGCATGATGTCTGCTGGGGGTGGTCACCCCAGGATGTCTGCAGGCAAATATTCAATACATATAATGTTATTAAAGTTATTTTCTTTTTCTTTCGTTTGTATATTACTCTTTGGGTATTTCATCAAGTTGTTGACTTCATGTGTGCTAAAAGCTATTTCATGTTGTGACAGGAAATGTCTGTTCAGGTGGAGTGCATTAGTGCTAACGAGAAAGTGCAAGTGACAGACACAACTCAACAGCAAAATCCAACAATCTGGTTAAAAAATGAACAGAGGATCTAAATAGACATTTTTCCAAAGTAGACAGAGATAGCCAATGGGTACATGAAAAGCTGCACAACATCCTGAATCATCAGGGAAATGCAAACCAAAACCACAGTAAAACATCACCTCACACCCGTTAGAAGAGGTATTATAAAAAAGACAAGAAATAGCAAGTGCTGTTGAAGATGTGAAGAGAACCCTCGTGCACTATTGGTGGGAATGTAAATTGGTACAGCCACTATGGGAAACAGTATGTAGGCTCCCCCCAGATTAAAAACAGAACTATCATATGACCTAGCAGTTCCACTATTAGGAATATATCTGAAGGAAACAAAAACAGTAACTTGAAAAGACATCTGCACCCCCATGTTCATTACAGTACTATTTACAATAGTCAAGAGGGGAAGCAACCTAAGTGTCCATCAATGGATGAATGGATAAAGAAGATGCGGTATATATACAATGGAGTATTACTCAGCCATAAAAAGGAAAGAAAATCCTGCCATTTGTGACAACATAGACAGACCTTAAAAGCATTATGTTAAGTGAAATAAGTCAGACAGAGAAAGACAAATACCGTATGATCTCAGTTATATGTAGAATCTTAAGACAAACAAAAACCCCCACGAACTCATAGATACAGAGAACAGACTGGTGGTTGCCAGAGGCAGGGGTGGGAGGTGAGTGAAATGGGTGAAGGTACAAATTTCCAGTTATAAAATAAATAAGTCTTGGGGAAGTAATGCACAGCATGGGGACCACAGTTAATGGTGCTGTACTGTATATTTGAAAGTTGCTGAGAAAGTAATGTGTTTTGTTTTGTTTTTTTGGCCGTGCAGCATGGCTTGTGGGATCTTAGTTCCCTGACCAGGGATCGAACCCGCACCCTCGGCAGTGAAAGCTCAGAGTCCTAACCATTGGACCGGCAGGGAATTCCCCCAAGAGTAACTCTTAAAAGTTCTCATCATGAGAAAAAAATATTTGTGTGGTGATAGATGTTAACTAGACTTACTGTGGTGATCACTTCACAATATACACAAATATTAAATCATTACATAGTGCACCTGAAACTAATACGTTCTATGTCAAATATATTTCAATTAAAACAAAAAGAAAAAGTGAGAAGGAGAGGAAGAAAGGTGGTCCTTCTGTGGAGGGCACAGTGCACGTACCTGTCTGGGCAGAGGGAGACGTAGAGCAGCAGCAGGGGCCCGGCCCCGACGACTGTGGCCAAGGAGGACCTCATCCAGGAGCTGAGCTGGCAGAAGTTACAGTAGTGCACCACGGTGATCAGGACAGCCGAGCCCGTGAACACGGTGGACTGCAATGAGGGGCAGGCTCGGTGAGGACCCCAGCCCCCCTCCTTGCCACACGGGCTCACCTGCCTTCCCTCCACCTGGGCACCCCGAGAGCAAACGACATGCTCACTTACCTGTCCTTCTGTTTAACAAAATATCTGGTGGTTTCAGGGACAGATCATAAATCATTAGATTAATTACCAGAGCTTTCGGTTACAAGTCTCACTGGCACTAAAATTCCTCTCCTGACGTGTGCCAATTGCACACGTCACATTGGAGGAGAGGAAAGGTAGACTGCCCTGGTTGAGAACTTCCACCGTGTACCCAGTTACCTCCCAAAGCCTGTCCTCCAGGCACCCTGCTGTGTGTCAGTGGAAATGTGATTTGGTTTTAAGTATCAAATGCAGCCAGCCCACCCAGTACTTCATGCTATACTCGCTGGCACCAAAAATGTAATCTTCCACAGCAGGATGAATTCACTCTTTATGGGGTTTAACTTGGATGCTCCTTCCCTGATCAACAGCAGCTGATCCAGGTGCCAGTCAATTGTTTGTGCCAGTTCTGCAGACTAACATTATCTTTTCTTTTATAACTTTAAAAAATATATATTAAGTATAGTTGATGTACAACAGAATATTAACTTGTATCATCTGGAAACATGGGTCAGATGCTTCTTTGTAAAACGTGTAAGAAAATAACTGATTTGGGGGACTTCCCTGGTGGTGCAGTGGTTAAGAATCCGCCTGCCAATGCAGGGGACACAGGTCCGAGCACTGGTCCAGGAAGATCCCACATGCTGCAGAGCAACAAAGCCCATGTGCCACAACTACTGAGCCTGTGCTCTACAGCCCGCAAGCCACAATACAGAGCACATGTGCCACAACTACTGAAGCCTGAGTGCCTAGAGCCCATGCTCAACAAGAGAACAAGAGAAGCCACTGAGCAGAAACAAGAACTACAATCCCGCAGCCTGTTGAACAAAAACCACATTCACAGAAAGACAGACAAAATGAAAAGGCAGAGGACTATGTACCAGAAGGAACAAGATAAAACCTCAGAAAAACAATTAAATGAAGTGGACATAGGCAACTGTCCAGAAAAAGAATTCAGAATAATGATAGTGAGGATGATCTAGGACCTCGGAAAAGGAATGGAGGCAAAGATCGAGAAGATGCAAGAAATGTTTAACAAAGGCCTAGAAGAATTAAAGAACAAACAAACAGATGAACAATAACTGAAATGAAATGAAAAAATACACTAGAAGGAATCAATAGCAGAATAACTGAGGCAGAAGAACGGATAAGTGACCTGGAAGACAGAATGGCAGAATTCACTGTTGCAGAACAGAATAAAGAAAAAAGAATGAAAAGAAATGAAGACAACCTAAGAGATCTCTGGGATAACATTAAACACACCAACATTCGCATTATAGGGGTCCCAGAAGGAGAAGAGAGAGAGAAAGGACCCAAGAAAATATTGAAGAGATTATAGTCGAAAACTTCCCTAACATGGGAAAGGAAATAGCCAACCAAGTCCAGGAAGCGCAGAATCCCAGGCAGGAAAAACTCAAGGAGAAACACGCCGAGACACATAGTAAGCAAACTGACAAAAATTAAAGACAAAGAAAAATTATTAAAATCAACAAGGGAAAAATGACAAATAATATACAAGGGAACTCCATTAGGTTAACAGCTGATTTCTCAGCAGAAACTCTACAAGCCAGAAGGGAGTGGCATGATATACTTAAAGCGATGAAAGGGAAGGACCTACAACCAAGATTACTCTACGCAACAAGGATCTCATTCAGATTCAATGGAGAAATCAAAAGCTTTACAGACAAGCAAAAGCTAAGAGAATTCAGCACCACCAAACCAGCTCTACAACAAATGCTAAAGGAACTTCTCTAAAGGGGAAACACAAGAGAAGAAAAGGACCTACAAAAACAAACCCAAAACAATTAAGAAAATAGTAACAGGAACATACACATTGATAATTACCTTAAATGTGAATATGGATTAAATGTTCCAACCAAAAGACACAGGCTCACTGAATGGATACAAAACCAAGATGCATATATATGCTGTCTACTAGAGACCCACTTCAGACCTAGGGACACATGCAGACTGAAAGTGAGGGGATGGAAAAAGATATTCCATGCAAATGGAGATCAAAAGAAAGCTGGAGTAGCAATACTCATATCAGATAAAATAGACTTTAAAATAAAGAATGTTACAAGAGACAAGGAAGGACACTACGTAATGATCAAGGGATCAATCCAAGAAGAAGATATAACAATTGTAAATATTTATGCACCCAACATAGGAGCACCTCAATACATAAGGCAAATGCTAACAGCTATAAAAGAGGAAATCAACAGTAACACAATAATAGTGGGGTACTTTAACACCTCACTTACACCAATGGACAGATCATCCAGACAGAAAATTAATAAGGAAACACAAGCTTTAAATGACACAATAGACCAGATAGATTTAATTGATATTTATAGGACATTCCATCCAAAAACAGCAGATTACACTTTCTTCTCAAGTGCACACGGAACATTCTCCAGGATAGATCACATCTTGGGTCCCAAGTCAAGCCTCGGTAAATTTAAGAAAATTGAAATCATATCAAGCATCTTTTCCAACTACAACACTATGAGATTAGAAATAAATTACAGGGAAAAAAATGTAAAAAAACACAAACACATGGAGACTAAAACAATACGTTACTAAATAACCAAGAGATCTCTGAAGAACTCAAAGAGGAAATCAAAAAATACCTAGAGACAAATAACAACGAAAACATGATGATCCGAAACCTACGGAATGCAGCAAAAGCAGTTCTAAGAGGGAAGTTTACAGCAATACAGTCCTACCTCAAGAAAGAAGAAAAACCTCAAATAAACAATCTAACCTTACACCTAAAGGAACTACAGAAAGAAGAACAAACAAAACCCAAAGTTAGTAGAAGGAAAGAAATCATAAAGATCAGAGCCGAAATAAATGAAACAGAAACAAAGAAAACAGTAGCAAAGATCAATAAAACTAAAAGCTGATTCTTTGAGAAGATAAACAAAATTGATACACCTTTAGCCAGATTCATCAGGAAAAAGAGGGAGAGGACTCAAATCAATAAAATTAGAAATGAAGAAGGAGAAGTTACAACAGACACCACAGAAATACAAAGCATCCTAAGAGACTACTACAAGCAACTCCATGCCAATAAAATGGACAACCTGGAAGAAATGGACAAATTCTTAGAAAGGTATTACCTTCCAAGACTGAACCAGGAAGAAGCAGAAAATATGAACAGACCAATCACAAGTAATGAAATTGAAAATGCAATTAAAAATCTTCCAACAAACAAAAGTCCAGGACCAGATGCCTTCACAGGTGAATTCTATCAAACATTTAGAGAAGAGCTAACACCCATCCTTCTCAAACTCTTCCAAAAAATTGCAGAGGAAGGAACACTCCCAAACTCATTCTATGAGGCCACCATGACCCAGATACCAAAACCAGACAAAGATACTACAATAAAAGAAAATCATAGACCATTATCACTGATGAATATAGATGCAAAAATCCTCAACAAAATACTAGCAAACAGAATCCAACAATATATTAAAAGGATCATACACCATGATCAAGTGGGATTTATCCCAGGGATACAAGGATTCTTCAATATACGCATATCAATCAACGTGATACACCATATTAACAAACTGAAGAAGAAAAACCATATGATCACCTCAACAGATGCAGAAGAAGCTTTTGACAAAATTCAACACCGATTCACGATAAAAACTCTCCAGAAGGTGGGCACAGAGGGAACCTACCTCAACATAATAAAGGCCATATACAACAAACCCACAGCAAACATCACTCTCAATGGTGCAAAACTGAAAGCATTTCCTCTAAGATCAGGAACAAGGGAAGGGTGTCCACTCTCGCCACTATTATTCAACATAGTTTTGGAAATCTTAGCCTCGGCAATCAGAGAAGAAAAGAAATAAAAGGAATACAAATTGGAAAAGAAGAATTAAAACTGTCACTGTTTGCAGATGACATACTATACATAGAAAATCCTAAAGATGCCACCAGAAAACTACTAGAGCTAATCAATGAATTTGGTAAAGTTGCAGGATACAAAGTTAATGCACATAAATCTCTTGCATTCCTATACACTAACAACAAAAGATCAGAAAGAGAAATTAAGGAAACAATCCCATTCACCATTGCAACAAAAAGAATAAAATACCTAGGAATAAACCTACCTAAGGAGGTAAAAGACCTGTAGTCAGAAAACTATAAGACACTGATGAAAGAAATCAAAGATGACACAAACAGATGGAGAGATATACCATGTTCTTGGATTGGAAGAATCAATATTGTGAAAATGACTATACTACCCAAGGCAATCTACAGATTCAGCGCAATCCCTATCAAATTACCAATGGCATTTTTGACAGAACTAGAACAAAAAAAATCTTAAAGTTTGTATGGAGACACAAAAGACCCCAAATAGCCAAAGCAATCTTGAGGGAAAAAACGGAGCTGGAGGAATCAGGCTTCCTGACTTTAGACTATACTACAAAGCTATGGTAATCAAGACACTATGGTACTGGCACAAAAACAGAAATATATAGATCAGTGGAACAGGACAGAAAGCCCAGAGATAAACCCACATACCTACGGTCAACTAATCCATGACAAAGGAGGCAAGGATATACAATAGAGAAAACACAGTCTCTTCAATAAGTGGTGCTGGGAAAACTGGACAGCTACTTGTAAAAGAATGAAATTAGAACACTCCCTAACACCATAAACAAAAATAAACTCAAAATGGATTAAAGACCTAAAGGTAAGGCCAGACACTATAAAACTCTTAGAGGAAAACATAGGAAGTACACTCTTTGACATAAATCACAGCAAGATCTTTTCTGACCCATCTCCTAGAGTAATGGAAATAAAAATAAACAAATGGGACCCAATGAAACTTAAAAGCTTTTGCATAGCAAAGAAAACTATAAACAAGACAAAAAGACAACCCTCAGAATGAGAGAAAATATTTGCAAACAATCAACGGAGAAAGGATTAATCTCCAAAATACATAAACAGCTCATGCAGCTCAATATTAAAAAAACAAACAACCCAATCAGAAAATGAAGACCTAATAGAAGACCTAAATAGACATTTCTCCAAATGAGACATACAGATGGCCAAGAGGCACATGAAAAGCTGCTCAACATCACTAATTATTAGAGAAATGCAAATCAAAACTGCAATGAGGTGTCACCTCATACCAGTTAGAATGGGCATCATCAGAAAATCTACAAACAACAAATGCTGGAGACGGTGTGGAGTAAAGGGAACTCTCTTGCACTGTTGGTGGGAATGCAAACTGATACAGCTACTACGGAGAACAGTATGGAGGTTCCTTAAAAAACTAAAAATAGAATTACCATATAACCCAGCAATCCCACTACTGGCCATACACCTAGAGAAAACCATAATTCAAAAAGACACAGGCACCCCAATATTCATTGCAGCACTATTTACAATAGCCAGGTCATGGAAGCAACCTAAATGCCCAGTGAGAGACGAATGGATAAAGGTGTGGTACTTATATACAATGGAATATTAGCCATAAAAAGGAACGAAACTGGGTCATTCGCAGAAATGTGGATGGACCTAGAGACTGTCATACAGAGTGAAGTAAGTCAGAAAGAGAAAAACAAATATCGTATATCAACGCATATATGTGGAATCTAGAAAAATGGTACAGATGAACCAGTTTGCACGGCATAAATAGAGACAGAGATGTAGAGAACAAATGTATGGACACCAAGGGGGGAAAGCAGTGGTGGGGGTGGGGGTGGGATGAATTGGGAGATTCGGATTGACATGTATACACTAATATGTATAAAATAGATAACTAATAAGAATCTGCTATATAAAAAAATAAAATTCGAAAAAAAAAAAGAGAAGCCACCACATTGAGAAGCCTGCGCACTGCAACGAAGAGTAGCCCCCGCTCTCCACAACTAGAGAAAGCCCGTGTGCAGCAACAAAGAACCAACACAGCCAAAAATAAATAAATAAAATAAATTTTAAAAATTAAAAAAAAAAAAAAACGATTTGGGACTTGACAACACCAAGAGGGGTTGGAGAGGACACAGGTCCACCAGGGAATCTCCCCAGAGCAGCCCCTGGGCTGACCTCCCGGCCCGCTCCTCTGTCCCAGGCAAGTCTTTTAAAAAGACAAGTTCAAAGGACTGACAAAGAGTTTGCGCCTCTTTAAGGGCCTATATTTAAATTGCTGTCCCAAGCCCTCAGGCTTATATTTTTAAAAAGTGATCAGGGAGCCCAGAAGAGCACCGACACAAAATCACCAAGACTTTACTTACGTGTATGTTTGTCTCAAATTCGGAGGTGACATGTGAATAGACCGCGAGGGCGGGGAGGGACACCAGGATGGCCCCGATGAAATGGCGCGGGAGCCAGCCGGCTATCCACTCCAGCAGGCGCTTGGTACAAGCCATCACATCCTCCAGGAAGAACACCATCCTGGGAGCGGGGGGAGAAAGGAGAAACGGGGTATCTGTGGGTGGGGGACCCAAAGCCAGGGCCACTCCCAACCCTGGCCTATGCTGTGGCCGCTGGTGTGGGTGGCGGGCAGAACCCCCGCCTCCTTTATTTTTGATCAATGGCAAGTAAACTGGACTCACTCAGCTCACCATACCGTATTTTAAGGTTACTTGCTGCATTCGGATAAGACGTGCTTGTAAAAGACAAGCATAGGCCTCTGTGAGTCTAAATGGAGCATGTAAGAACCAGGCAGGCAAATACTAACAGGTCCTGAAAAAGGTCACCTGTCACCTGTTACTGCCTGCTTCTAGGGAGGTCTCAAGTGGGTGGTTCAGGAGGTGTTCAGAATTTTGTGGGGCTTTTTTGGTGCCTCAATGGTTGCAGGTGCTACTGGCACCAACAGGCAGGAGCTGGGGATGGGTGATGTCCCGTGATGTACAGCGAGGCTCTGCCCTAAGCCCCACATGACTGCTACACACCCCCTGGACAGAGAAAACCTGCTGACGATGACTTCAGCCTAGAGCCTAATTGCGTTTTGTTTACAAACAGAAAGTGGTTTCTGTATGGCAGTAACATACACTGAATTTTCCAGGAGTGCAGCTACTGGGTAAACCAAACAAGATTACCCGTAGTTTTATTTGGGACACCAAGAGTCGTCAGCATCTCAGAAACCACATCACAGGCTCCTGGGGCTCATACCACCAAACCCGCACACTCATAACAGTCTGCATTGGGAGCTGTCATATTATCAGTGCACAAGGGCAAACAGCTGACAACTTGGGCGTGGCTGCCCAGGTGGCGATGCCCTGGCATATTCGAGGTGAAGCGCTACACGTATATTATTTTAAATGGCTTTCTTGCCATTTCTCCTTCACATTGGAGTGATGGCATTTCATTGATTGCTTCTGAAATTGTGTGTATAGGTGCGCTATACTTCAGGGTAGGGATGTGGCATCATAAAACGTTTTTCATGGAGAATGAGGAGCTGAGTGCGTGGGGCCGAGAACTGCTGCTCTGCAGGAAGAATCCCTGGGTCAACAGCAGCGGGAGGTGGAGGAGAGGACACTGGGGGTCCGCCTCGGGAGGGAGACCCACACACACAGTCCCCTCTAAAGACACCTCAGTGAGGGTGCAGGTGGGGCAGGCCCACTTCCCTTGCCTTCAAAGGTAAAAAGCCTGTCAAGGGCCTCTTGCATCCACCCAGGCATCCACACCTTCAGTTACCAGTGCAGGTCCTTATTGACCTAGGGTCCCATATCCACCCTCAGTGGGGCCAGAGGAAATCCCCCAGGCCCCGCCCTCTCCTGGGCACCGACAACACACCAGAGGCTCGGGCAGGAGCAAAGTGGCCCCGCAGAGATGTGGGTGCGCTGGGCACAGCCAGGCCTGGCATCCTCATGGCCCACAGTCCTCTGCAGTCCTTAACCTGGCTTAGCCCAGATTTTTTCAAACTGGGTCCGAAGAACAGGGAACAATCATGTAAAGGGTTCTTTAGAAAAGGTATGGAGAAAACGCTTGCCTCAGAGGGATCAAGAGCCTTAACCAGTTGTGAGCCCCGCATCAGACAGAAACTCAGGGCAGGGAGGGGAGTGATTGGAAGTAGGTACTGGCTTTTCTTTGGGGTGACAGAAATGTTCTAAAATCATATGATGGTGATGTTTGCACAATTCTGTAAGTTTATTAAAAATCTGTGAATTGTACACTTATGAGTGAACTTATTGTTTGTGAGTTATATCACAATAAAGCTTGTTTTAAGAAGAAAAAAGACTAGGGGCCAGAGGATGCCTTGTTTTGGTCTCTCCGGGTGTCCCCAGGCCCAGGGCAGGCCCACAGAGGGCGCAGTTCATTTGGAAGTGGGTCCCAGGCAGCTTGTGGAGACATGGAGGGAGGCAGGCCCAGGGGAGGGCTGTGCTGGGGAGGAGTCACCTGCTGTGGGCAATGCAGCTCCACGCTGGTGGCGAATCTGGGGAGATGGCGAGGATGTGTCTTAGAGTTCCCTCCACTGGGAGGAGGGGGAGGGAAGGGAAGAGCCCCTGGCAGCCAGAGAAAGCCCTTGGCAAAGGACTGAACGGGCCTCAGTGGGGAGTTGCGGGGGAAGGGGGGAGCATGGAAGGGAGGGGGCAGGTGTCCAGCTCATTCATTTCGAAGGGAGGGATCTTGCGTTTGGGAGTCTCAGGGCCAGACCCGAAGCTGTGGTTTCCTGTCCTGGGATGTTGGGGAGGTGTAGAAACTCAAGGTCAGGGCCCTTTACCACATTTCTTTCTGATCCCCAGTGTGGGGCTGTCCTGCTGAGAGGACAGGGCTGGAGGAAGGGGGTGGGCCTGGTGCAAGGACCCAGCGTGAGTGGAGGCCCTGTTTGTATCAGTAGAAACATTGTGAGCTTCCTGAGTGGGGTGGGGCCTGAAACTGGGCTAGTCCTAAGGGCCCAGCCTCCCAGAGGGACTCTGCTGTCTCTTCGGACACTCTGTCCATTTTTAAATGGGTTGACTGTCTTTTTATTATTGAGCTAACATTCTAGATATTAGACCCTTGTCACAGATATGATTTGCAAATACTCTCTTCCATCCTGTAGGTTCTCTTTCACTTTGGGGTGAAAAATGATGATGGTGTTCTTTGAAACATGAAAGTTTTAAATTTTGATGAAGTCCATCTTAACTATTTTTTCTTTGGTTGCTTGTTTTTCATGTCGTATCTAAGAAAGCGTTGCCTGATCCGAGTTCATGAAGACTTGGGCCTGTGCTTTCCTCTAGAGGTTTATGGTTTCACCCTTACATTCAGGAGAGGCACCTGCTGATGTGCTGGCAGCCCCTTACCAGCTGTACCCTGTACACCTACCTCTTTTCTTTCTCTGCCCTGCTTTCTTATTCCCTATCTTCCCACTTTCTCTCTTTAAGTATCTGATTTGGGAGATCAGCAGACTAGTTGGTGGCATTAGGGCTGCAGAGGACAGTGACCCACTGGTAAGGTGAGTGCCCACCTGTGCTGAGGGCCCGTGTTGGTGAGGGAGGAGCCAGTGAAGCAGGCTGGGGGAGGGAAGAAAAGAGGACCATCCCCGAAATGGGTTATGGAGACAGCTGGCTGTTCCACCAGCAGAGGGAGCTAAAGGCTAACAGCTGGGCAGTGCTGCAGGTGGGCCTTTACCTGACGGAGACCACGAGGGACAGGACCTCCAGAAGCAGGGCTGCTCCGAAGACCACCAGGGCGGCCGGCGGGGGTGGCATGGAGGCAGCCCCATACTTCAGGAAGCAGGTAATGGAGAGAATCAGAAACACTGTTGTCGACAGAAACACATCCAGGAGGGAGCTGAAGGTGGCACTGGCAAAAGTCTTCACGGGAGAATTCTTTATAACCTGTTTGGGGGGAGTGTGAACAGATGCTGCTGGATGTATCCTCCTGGAGAAGTATAATCCAGGCGGAAAAAACAGCAGATGCTTGCTGAGCACTTGCCTCCTGCAGACCAGGTACAGGGTGAGTAGTGCTTCAGGCAGGCCGTCTCCTACCCCACCTAACAGTGAAGAAACTGAGGCACAGAGAAGTGAAGAAACTTGTCCAAGGTCACACAGCAACTGATTACAAACCAAATAAGTTCTCACAGGCATGTGACGCCCTGAACCTGAAAGGCGAGCTATCGACAGGCAAAGTCAGTGACTCTGCGTCTGTAGAGACAGTAACAGGAAAGCCACATGCTAGAAGCTTCCACTGAACGCTGGGTCCCAGGCTCAGGTGTGTGAAAGCTGGCTTCATACAGAAGTAGGAGGTCAATAGCAACAGTGACAACAAGAGCCTGCTCTGGGCCTGGATGCTGTGCAGGGCTCGAGGGCAGGCATGAAACAACCCCCTTGGGGGCTCATGGCCTAATGGTGGGACAGACAGGAGTCTGAGATGGGTGGTGTCATCAGTGCATCAAAGCGACATGCACATCATGTCAGGAAATCATGGGAAGGAGGGAAAAAATGACGACAACGCCAAAGAGTCTGAGAGAGACTTGTTCCAGGCACCACGTGGACCCTTTGGGGGCACGACCTCAATCGATGCTCACACAGCCCTCAAGGAGGAAATACTCCCAATCTCAGGGCACAGGCTGGGAGGCTGAGGTGAGGTGGCCACTCGAGGTCACACAGCCAAGGAGGAGCCCGGCCAGGGGCTGTGGCATCTTGATCATGTCACCTACTGTCCCTGTGCCTCCATTTCCTTAACTGGAAAGAGGGATAAAATGAGACCCTGCACCTTATGGGTGCTGGGGATGCTTAGATGGGAAATCACAAAGTGTGGCGGGGGCCTAATGTGGGGGCGGCTTGAGCCTCCCACCGTTCCTGCATCGCTCCCATCCTTGCCAGCTGGCCCTGTGGTTCAGGGATAGCGTCCCACCTGCGCCCCAGGCCTCCGGGCTCATTTACTCCCGTTACCTACAACTCAGCCACGTGACCTTTATACAACACAGTCTGATGGTGCCAACTCCTGTTCTGGATCCTTCAATGGCTCCCCTGGCCTTTAGCATAACGTCCACAGTGTGGGAAGCTGTCATCGGGCCCCTGCCCACCTGCCACTTCCACCCCGTCTGCCAGACAGAAGCGTCCACAGCTCCCTGGATGCACCCAGGCTCTGTCTTATCTCCAAGGTTAGGTTTGCAGGTGCTGGCCCCTCGCTGGAACGTTCCTTAATTCAGTTAATTGCTAGTCCTCCCACTAACACGGGCTCCTTCTGGGCCCTCGACCTGGGGTCGGTGTGCTCTGCGGCCATTATGGGGCCCCTGGGTCTGGATTCTCATTTCTGCCGGGTTACTGCTTCCCTGTGAGTGTCTGTCGACGCTACACCCCAGCCCCAGGAGCACGACCCGGTGGTGCAGACGCTCAGTGAGCATTTGGTGACCTGTGCCCTCTGCTGGGGACGCTCTGTACTCAGCACCAGGAGTGGGTGGGAGCTCCTGGCCCTGAATCAGGCAGGTATCCAGTCCTAGCGATGGGATCTTGGCCACTCGGCCTTTCCTGGCTTCGGCTTTCTTTTGGTAAAATGGGGATAATCATAAGCTTCCTTGAAGGGTTGCTGTGAGGATTAAGGTTGCTGTTTTGCCTTAAAGGCACCAACCAACCAACTCCCAAGTCCACGAGAGGAGCCTCGCCTGGGGTATTAACGGTATTCACCACCCAGGAGGCTGACGAAACTCAACCCCACAGGCATGAACTTCCCTGTCTGGTTCACCAGGACTCTCGGGGTTGGTCAGGGCCTGGATGTAACAGACACTGAGGGATGATTTACTGGATGAACGAATGGAGTCGAATGAGAAATCCTTCTGGCTCTGGGGTTGGAAGGGTATGCATTTTTGACCTTGGAACACTAAGCTGGGTTAGATTTGGGAAAAATGCAGGGAGCTGGCTTCTTGGAACTCAAACCAGGCTCTAGGTTCTCGTATTTATTCATCGTTTCCACCAAGCCCTACTGAGCACTTGTGGGTGTGGGGACTGGATGCCACGTAGAGTGGAGATGAGAGACAGGGTCCTGCCTCCCAGAGTGGAGAGTCCAGGAGGAGGCATATGATTCAACAGTCCCACAAGAAGAGATTACAAACTGGGATGCAGCTGCGGAGAAACAGTATAACAGAGGAAAAAATCCAGTCTGGGGTAAGGGAAAGTTTCTTAGAGGAAGTGATGTTTGGGCTGAGAGTTACAGGACAACAGGAGTTAAGGCAGGGGACGGGCAGTAGAGGAAGGCTCAGCACCAAAGCAGGCGGGAGAGCCGAGCAAGGTGAAAGCCCTCTCAGCTCTTGTCCCATTTCAGTAGGAAGAAAGCCGACAGGGAACAGGGGGAGAAATCCTCCTTGAGAACAGAGAATAGTTGGGGCTGGAGCTCCCCCCTCACCCCTCTCACCCCGTACTAGGCCTCCAGGGGCTGGAGCACAGCCAAGGGCGCCTGGGGATGCACCAGCTGTAGAGCAGAGGGACTGGGAGATGACAAGCCTGGGTTGCTGTAGAGATATTTGGGATTTTCTCCCTTGTGGAGATAAATTCACATACAGGTGAAATTTAGGGCTTACAGACTGTGGGAAATCAATATGAGCCGTCAATTTCCTGTCACTCAGGAAAACAAAAATGGCCTCCAAAGCACAAGACTAATCGTGAACTGTGCAGTGAAAACGACGCATGTCTTTGGTAAAATTATAAGGAGCCACGCACCTCTTCTTGATAGCTGGTCCTGTAGGCTTGTTCTAGCTCCTGATCCAGGAAGTTCAAGCTGAACTGATTAATGGGTGGCTTAAAAAAATAATCTTTCATCAGGCTAGAAGAGACAATAAATGCAATCAATCAACGTGCAGCACAATCGCTACATTTATTTTATCAGAAGATCACAGTTGCCTACTGAAACGCCCTTTGTGAAGCGTGTCACAAAAGCTGTACCTAAAAGTCACCATACAATAGACATTGCTCAACTGCCCCTTTTAGAACACGGCTCTGGAAAGTCCTTCATGCTTCTAGACATAATCCCATTTTAGGTTTCACCTCCACAAAAGAATGCTCATTCACCATTAACATAACACACATCATCAGAACCGTGCTTTTGAAAACATCTTCCTAACATCCAGAATTAGAATAGAAGGAGGCAGCAGCTTTTTTGTTCCATAAAATGCTCCCTTCCAAAGGACCAGCAGATCCCTGTACTGAGCATACTTATGTTGATTTGGAGGCTTCCTTGCAAACATAATTCAGAACCGGCTGTCCTGTCACTCAGAGTACTGACAGTAATTACCACTGTCACTGCTAACAGGTTGTTATCACAAAATTGTGTTTATAGTTAGTGTAATTTTGGTGCTACTGTCACATATGCAGATTGCATGTGAAATGATAATGCTCAATGATTTTAATAGCAGAGAAATCAAGCCTGCTTTACGTGACTCTTTCATTCTTTTACGGACTGCTAGCAAACAGTCATATCCTTTTTATCCTGCAGAAAATTACTATAAATTTAATGGAATGTTAGCATAATTTCAGAAGGCAAATGCAGCTGTGGGATGTCTCTCTCCCTCACATAATAACTACTAGAATTAAATCCGATGAAATTTGTAAAGAGCCTATCACGTGCCTGACACACAGTAGGGTTCACTGTAGTTCCTCCTTTCCCTGAAGCAGAGTGGGCTCTCTTTTTGTGCTAAGTGTGCAATACCTTACTGGACTCTCAGACTTAGAAAAGAGAAAATTCTATCCCCTAATGTTGACCCCCTATCCTCCCCTCCACTTGGCAAGTATGGACAGAGGGAAAAACAACAAAGCAGCTATAAGAAGGAAATGTAATGGCTTCATTTTTGCAGTCAAGTGGCAGGATCCACACTATAAAATACACTGCTCATTTGAGATTAATATTGGGAGGTTCCACTTCTGGGAATGGAAATGAGCTCCTGTTAGATCAATCGTCTCTCAGATAACAACTATAAACCCTAAACAAAATATAAAAACAACTCCTGGAAGGCACTGGCAATTGACCAAAGCAGTAAGAAAATGGAGAAGAGCCACACTTGGAACAGGCTGAATTTCTTGTGGGGTTTTTTTTTTTTTTTTCTTTTTTTGCCTAAAGAGAGTCATTAGTCAGCACCACATGTAAGATGGCTAAAACTCAGAAAAACTACAGTTTTACTGACGTGGAAAACCAGAAAATAGAGTTTAGCATGCCCACCAATGGAAAATGAGGTTGGACATTCCAGAGAGAGAGGACCAGAGAAGGGGGAGCCCCAAATTCTGCATATAGGCTCTGCTCGAATCTCTGGCTGACCCCTGAAATACACATGTGCATGGCAGACTACAAGCCTAATTAAGGCTGAAGGAATAGTGGCTGTCCACCTCAGGGGAGACAGAGTTTGGTGTTTGAGTTCAGATGAGTTAACTGTCTACTAAAACAAACAAAAAGTTGATATTCTTCAAAGGAATGTAACAGAATCCAGGTTTTCTAACCATTGTACATAATGTGCACAATGCAATCCAAAATTACTAGACAAACAAGGAAACAGGAAACCATGATCCATCATCCACAAAAAAGCAATCAATAGAGACCAACCTGAGATTACCAAGAGGCTGGAATTGGAGGTTGGGGTTTATAATGTATATGGATGTAATACATGTGAAAACTGTAACATAAGGAATGAGAAGAGAGTAATGTACCTATACAATTGTAAGATTTCTACATTTAAAGTGAAATGATACAGGGACTTCCCTGGTGGCACAGTGGTTAAGAAACTGCCTGCCAATTCAGGGGACACGGGTTTGAGCCCTAGTCTGGGAAGATCCCACATGCCACGTAGCAACTAAGCCCCTGCCCCACAACTACTGAGCCTGCACTCTAGAGCCCACGAACCACAACTACTGAGCCCTTGCGCCACAACTACTGAAGCCCACATGCCTAGAACCCATGCTCCGCAACAAGAGAAGCCACCTCAATGAGAAGCCCGCACACCACAATGAAGAGTAGCCCCCGCTTACCGCAACTAGAGAAAGCCTGCATACAGCAACGAAGACCCAACACAGCCAAAAATAAACAAATAAATAAATTTATAAAAAGAAAAAAAGTGAAATGATGCAATATTAACTATAAGAAGACTATAAAAATATAAGACTGCCTAGAGCAACCATTAAAAGAAAAATAATGCAAAGAGGTATGGCTAAAAAGCAAATAAATATATTAAAATATAATAAAAAAGGCAGATATTGTCAGAATGATTTAAGGAGCAAGACCCAAAAGAGATGTATTTCAAATATAAAGACCCAGGTTATAACTTTTTAAAATGGAAAATGATGTAGCATGCAAACAGTAAGAATAAGAAGGCCAGAGTGACTATGTTAATATCCGATAAAGCAGTCTTCAAGACAGAGTATTACTGGGCACCAAGAGGGACACTTCAAAATGATAAAAGGATTATTTACCAGGAATATATAACACTCATAAATGTGTATGTACCTAAAAAAGAGCTTCAAAATACCTGAAACAAAAATTGTCAGGACTACAGAGAGACACAAACAATTCCACAACCACAGCTGGAGATTTTAACATCCCTATCTCAATAAGTGATAGAACAAGAGACAAAAAAGTCAGTAAAGAGACAGATGATCTGAACATTACTGCCAACCACGTGGGCCTAATTGAGGTTTATGGATCACAACATCCTGAGAATGCAAAATATGCATTCTTTTCAAACGCACATGGTATGTTTACCAAAACAGACCACATGTGAGACCACAGAACAAGTTTCAATAAATGTAAAAGGAATGAAGTCACATAGTGTATGCCTTTGACTACAATGACATTAAATCAAACATTAATAACTAACATATGTAAATACCGTTTTTCACTAAAAGGAGCCAAGGCTTTTGGAGAAACGGCTGATTCCTGAGCTGGGGCAGGGATGATATAAAATGAGCCTGTTGTACTGGAAAGTAAGAAATCACTCAAAACAAATGAAGGAGCCATGTCGAAAGGACACAGGAGCCAGCCTGAAGGGGGGCTCCCAAAGGCCAGATTCGGGACAACTAGAGCATCAAACTCTAATTAGGACAGTGATAAATGATGTCCTGCTAAGTAAAACAGGACTCCATGAGGGTTTATATGGATTTATAAATCTATAGATGGATAGATTAAGTAATAAGTGGGGAGGAGCTCTTTACTGCAGAATGCCAAGCCCCAAATGATAAATGCACAGTCAGCGCTGAAGCAGGAAAACTGCCATTTTGACCAACATAGTAAAGACTGTTTCAAACAAGAACCATCAATGGAGATTAAGTCTAGGGAAGTGTGGTGAGGAATGGGATCTTTACATGATCTGAAAGCATCTTCCCACAGATGGCCGACTAGTCACAGGGAGAAAATAAGTACAAACTGGAGAAGTTGGCAACACTCGCCCAGCTGATCAACATCACTACCCCTGATGAAGGTCAAAGGGGGCACCACGGGCCTCTGGATCTGGTGCCTGAGAAGACACGTCACCTCCATGGGATCTGCACACACAAGCAGCCTGGACAGAATCATGAGGAGGTGTCACACAAATCCAACTTCAGGAATATTTTATAAAAGAGCCAGGCCTGCATGTTTCAGAATGTCATTGTCATGGAAGATCAAGAATGGCTGAGGAACTGCCCCAGATTTAAAGAATGAAGAGGCCTGACAACTGCATGGTGCAGCATGTGTTTCTCTACCATGCTATGAGGGACACGTGGGACCACACAACAAAACCAGAATAGGAACCGCAGACTGGGTAAAACACCTCATCAGTGTTAAATTTCCTGAATTAGGTAGCTATGATCACAGGCAAGAACACCCCTGTTTTCAGGAAATACAGTTTTAAGGGGTAGGAAGCACGAGGTATCTAACTTACTGTCAAATGGTTAGGAAAAATAAATAAATTTCACAGGGAGAGAGAGGAGAATAAAACAAGCAGAGTAAAATGTTAAAAGTTGGTAAATCGGGGCTTCCCTGGTGGCACAGTGGTTGAGAGTCCACCTGCTGATGCAGGGGACACGGGTTCAAGCCCCGGTCCGGGAAGATCCCACATGCCACGGAGCGGCTGGGCCCGTGAGCCATGGCCGCTGAGCCTGCGCATCCGGAGCCTGTGCTCTGCAACGGGAGAGGCCACAACAGTGAGAGGCCCGCGTAC